CCTAGGACCACCTGGCTAGGTGTGGTACCACCCACAGGGAGTTCAGCCCTCCCCCTCCGCCAACCCCCTTCAACACCCCCCCCCTTGCATCAATCAGACATCAAGAAAATGGCACACAGGCATGCCTCCAGGCCAGGCTGATGGGGCCGTTCTTTGATTGCTCTTCCCAGGTGATTCCAGTTGGTGTCAAATTGACAAACACCCTAACCAGCCCACCCACTCCCAGCTATCTGCCACCTTCAAAGCTAAATACCTAGAAATCAACTCTTAATTTCCACTTACTTTGGGGATTTCAGTTTAAATACCACTGGTTCTGGGATGTGACCCCACCCTTTTCCCCTCCCCCAGATTGGGGAAAGTCCCCAATGGTACCTGCACCCAAGGCACCTTATGCCTCTTCTCTTTTTCAGTGAACTAGTCCTTTCTTGGACCCCTACCCCATGAAGGCAGAGGCCGAGGTGGAGATACTAGGACTCCCCGATCTATTCGACTTTCTTGGCGCAGAGGCTGTGTGACCCAGACAGACACTCCCTGCATGACAGACGCCTGTCATTCAAAGCCCTTAAGATCACAGCTTATAACGCTCTATCTGCCCTTAAATCAGCATGCACGTGCGACATCCAGGCACCCTGGCCTTTTCCCTCCATGTCTTTTGCTCAGCCGTTGCTGGCTGCAAGGCACGCTTGCTCTCTGCTCCATCTACCAGTGATTGTCCCGTTTACCTTTGTCCCAGCCCTGTCCTCCCTGGTGTCTTCTCCGTGCCCTCCCCCACCCGCCACCGGTCATGTTCCACGTCCCACTGTAACTTCCTGGAGGGCAACTTGTAGTTTTCCTCTGAAAACACTGAACTACAAAACAGAGACACTTTGTATAACATGTGTCCAAATAGTGTCTTATCCAGCTGTGTCTCAAAGTGTCCACTTTGTGGTATGTGGGGGGGGCACGTAGTAAGGACACAAGAATACTTCTGAATGAATGGGAGAACTTTCCCTCCCTTATACCTGTCAGAACAAGAGGCGTACCCTCTCGTTGGCATACTAATCTTTAAAACGCGTTCCTCTTAGGTTTACGCGAAGAAGGATCTGTTTTCACCAACAAACAACTATGGTTACAGGTTTGTTCCATCTTTATTTGGGAGACAAATGCTTGCTTTGTGCACTGGATGAAGGTAGTGATTGTGTTTGCCAGAGTGTTAGCCGGACCACTGCGTAAGGGCAAAGGAATTCCTCCCGGAGTTGGTGTTTTCCAGCGCACTCAGCAACATGTGTCTCCTGGGCTGAATGAGACCGTGTATGTGAAGGCATATGGAAAGGTATGAGGCCAAAGGCAGGGGGGTGCTGTGTCTATAAATAATAAACCAATAGTTATTTTAGTTTATTTGCAACATGCTGGGTTACACCACCACCACCACCCCCCCAGTGTGGAAAATGGAATTGTTGGAATCCTCAGAAATGTTACCTAAAAATAAACCACAGAGACAGACAGCAGTCTGGTGGTTGCCAGGGACAGGGGACAGGAGGTGACTACTTAATGAACCAGGTTTCTTTCATGGTGATGAGGATGTTTTGGAACAAGATAAGGGCAGTGGTTGCCTGTGGTATAGAGACACAAATGCCATGAACTGTTCACTTTGAAATGGGTAGTTTTACGTTAAATGAATTGAAACTTAATAATAATAATTTAAAAAGGTACTTAGCGTCTAATAACACATTCCAAATAGACAAGGCTGGGCTATTCCAGGGGTGCACAGGATCTACAGTTCCCACCGTGATCTGGACTCTTCTGTGGTACAGGGGATGGAAACCTTGTGTGCACAGGATCATGCCCTCCTGGTGTTCACGAGAGTGAACACTATCGTTGGCCAGCGTGGTTTAGTTACCTCCTCTGGCTTCCACGAGGACTTAGGTCTTCTTGTTCCAGAGGTGGGGGCCTGAAGCATTTCCCCCTTCATGCGAGTAGAATTTTCCAGAGACAAGAACTCACAGACATGTGATAAGCTTCACTGTGGCCTCTGTCCACCAAGACCCTCCACCCTGCCTACTGGGCGGCCACAGCAATTCCTCAAGCCTCCAGGCGGGCCTGATGACAAAGAAGGCGGAGCAGATGAGTATTAGCAGCTCATCACTCCTAGTGACATGGCCCACTGTCTCACCAGGAAGGGACAGACCTGCCTGCAAAGGCAAGGGCAGACTGGAGAGCCACGACTTGGACCGTGTGCACAGCCCAGAGGCTCTCAGTTCTCTCGTGTGGCGGGACTGTCCCTGTGGGTTCTGGTGGGGCATCCTGCGAGCCGCAGGGATGGAGCTATCCACAGACACACAGCCTATCCACCCACTGAACGCATACAGCCTCACGGAAGAACACACCCTTCAATTCAGACATGGCGGTTCAGCCCAGGGCCCTTGTAATCAAGCTGCATCAGTCAGCTTTATAACCAAAGTCTGTGGGATTTAACGACTTGATTTCTTCCTGAGTCTAGCACTTCCTTTCCAAAGGCCTTCACGTATGTGGTCTCATGGCTCGGAGGGCTGGAAAACTCCAGGAGATAGTTTACTCCTTCTACACTGGAGAGCTACTTAAGAAACAAAGCTGGAGTCACCAGTGGAACTCCCGGTCTAGCACAAAGGATAGTCTCTTGACCCCTTGGCCAAGGAATCCTTTCTGAGGATGGCCCCTGCTGAACCCCTTGGAAGTCTAAATGCTGTCTGCCTCTCATGTTAAAAGTCTGTGTTGAAAACAGAATAACAGAGTCAAGTTATGGGAGTGGTTTGGACCAGTTCAATGGAGACTTACATAAGGTGAATCCCAAACTCCCCTAGTACATGCTCTTAGATTTGAGAACCCAGTGGGGCCACCCCGGCTGCTAGTTTCTTTCTTTCTTTTTTTCCCAATAAAAGCCTAAATGCCTGTCTGGATGTTAAAGCATTTATAGCTGTACAAAGAAGCGTAAGACTCCATCTAATAAGTGCCTGTCAATCATCAACTTCTCTAATTGCCATATGGGTAAAGAGGTGGGGATTGTGACGTGGCACTGGAAGATGGAGAATGTATGGCGGTACCAAGGCAAGAGAAGTAAGCTCCGAAACATCATCACAGTGCCTCTCTGTGGATAGCGTCATCCTCAGAGCCTAGAGAATCCTGGACAGCTGTTTCCTTCATAGTTACCCCACAAGGAAGCATGAGTTACTCAAGAAAGTACAGTACCATTGAAACACCCCAGGCTCTATCTGAATTTGTTTCCCTACCCATCCAAGCAGAAGAGATCACAATGAGGCCCGGTAGTGAGACTTCCTGGCCGCCTTATTCCAGCCTCTACTCCATGGGCCCACTGCGAAGGAAGTGGTGGGCTAGTGTTACCTTGTCTAAGCCTTCCTATGTAGGCATTTCTTCCCTGCTATCATTGCTCCACTGTCTCCACAGGAAGGAAACTGAGGCCTGGAGGGAAGTCCCATGGCTTTCTCCATCAGTTACTAGACACAAGTGCAGGATTCAGGGTGCCTCTGACTCCCAGTCCAGATCTCCTGGGTCCTCCAAAGAAAGAGGCCTGCGTACTGAGATTGCCTGAAGCCCACCAGGGCAAACGGCATCATTTGGGGGGCTCTTTTACTAACAGATAGTAAACACCCCATTGTCACGCACTGCAGACATTAACTGAGATGGATTTGCCTCTAGGGCCAGAGATGGAGAGGAGGGAACACATCGGAAGATGCTCCTTGGTCACTCGGATTTCCTAGACTACGGAACAACGAGGCTGTACCGTCACCGCTGAACGCTCCAGACTTGACAACCCGCGACTTTCCAAAGAAGTCTAGCGATGCCACCCTCCGTGTATTTGCACGTCTTGATTGTTTTCAGGGCTCCTTCCTGCCTTCCATCTGTCTGACCGTGACAACTGCAGGGTACGTTTCATCGGTCCTTTGACGATTCCTGGGCTTCCAGAGTCGTCCTGTTGCTGGATCACAGGTTGGCAGGCGTGGGCAGCTGGCTGAGAACTGGGCCCTGACACAGGATGGGAAGGGTCGGGGACGAGATCGGAAAGGCAAAGGTGGGAAGGGGCAGGAAGTACTGCCCCTGCGGCCCAGGGCTGGGGTGAGCCCCTTCCCCCCCAGCTTTATCCATGAGAAGCCAAAGACATAGAGGAACAGAAGAAAAAGTGAAGTGGCCAGGCAGATGGGAAAACTGGAAAAAAGGAAAATTAAAAAAAAAAGGCAACCACCACAGGCTCTTTGATCTTAATTCATTTTATTCTACAAAATGCTACTCAGTGGAAAGTGGGAAAGCGAACAACAACAACAACAGAAACATAAAACAAAAATAAACCCCAGGGGGAAACAAGTTTTAATATGCTCTTTCCTCCATAGCAGCAAGCTTCTCCCAACAAGCTTTTCTTAGTGCAAATACTGTAGGCTTGTGTCACGTACAGTACACAGAACAACACAACACACACCAACCAGAGATGGCTTCCGAGCAGGGATACTCCTCAATTTTTAAAACTATACAAAGATTTGTGAGCATACGGTCCTGCCGGGAGAGTCCGACCAGAGAGGCCCTCCCATAGGGCCATTTCACCAGGACTTTAAAAACAGGGGACAAAAGGTGCCCAGAAAAATCATTAAAATTCCCCCCCGCGCGCGGAGCCATAAAATCTTGTACAACTCATTTGCCTCCAGGGTCTATAGCGGATTTCACGTCACGTCATTGACATATCCCAAATACAGATGCACAAAGCTCGAGTTTCCACGATATACCAAAATACGATATATACACCTCCCACTGCGAAAGAAACCCTGATACCTAGTCTTTATACAAAGTTGAATATTTTCTCCCTCCAAAATCAAGTAACCACGAAGTAAAATAAATGGAATATTTTTTTTTTTAATCATACAGAGAAAGTTAAGTTTTGAGAGACAGGGCCAGGGTCTTTCATTGTGTTTTCTTACAATGTGAGATTTCCTTAGCAGCCACTGTCCCCAGAGGAATGACAATCAGTCTTTATAAACAGAACCTTTTAATACAGTTTATATAGCACGAGTCCACAAGTCACTTTAGAAACAGACAAACAAAATAAAGCATCATTATCCTAAGT